AGTTGTCGCTGCGAGATTGGTACGGGTGCGGGTGAGTGTTCGGGTCGGTACGGCGGGTCTCTATGCGAGGGGGGGCTTGGGCTTGGGCTTGGGCTTGGGTGCGGGGTCTGAGGGGTGCGGGATGAGGATGGGGACCGAGGGTGGTTCTGCCGGGGTACTGATCACGATAGCTCGGGTGTTCAGACTGGCGACGAGGGGCAAAGGGTCGGGTACCGGGACTGGGGGCGTTTCCGGAGTCGTACTGGCGATGGCCCGGACGGGAAGACTGCTGGGTACGAGGGTCCCGAGGTCGAGCATCGCTGCTGGGGGCGTTTCTTGCTCGATGCTGATGATGATGATGATGACTCGGGTCTCGAGACTGGGTATTGGGATCCCTGAGGGACTGAGGTAAAAACCGTGCCGAGTTTGATGACGAACTATGCGCCTGTGATGTCTGAGAGGAACTACTAAGTGGTGGCGGTGATGTATAGAGAGCTGTTGGTGGTGGTTGTCGTTGTCGCGGATTTGTGAGAGGATCATAGTAACCCGGGGGCGACGACGGATGCCGCGATGATGATGATGATGACGACGTATGCCGCGGGGTGGGGGAACTAGGAAGAACGGGGGCAAGAGGAGGCAGAGTCACCGGCGAGGGAGGTGAAGAGGAACGCCGCGCGAATGATGGCCAAAACTGCAGGTTGGGGGGAGTAGGAGGGAAAGGAGTACGACGAGGAGGAGGTAGAACAGGAGCAGCACGAGGAGGAGGACCAGGAGGCGGGGCTTCCGGCGAGGGAGGCGACGACCAACCCCAGAATACGGTCTCCTCCTCCGAGGCGGAGAGAACCGCGGGAGACGAGGACTGTAACTCGCGCCAAACCTGCTGCTGCTCGTCCGCCGCCATCGAGGAGCTCCCGGCCCGCGACCCGGCCGGTGACGCCCAGCCGATCAGTATCCGATCGGGCGGAGCAATATGGGTGTCGTAATGGCGCAGCGCTCGGGAATCTCGCGGCGACAGCTCCCTGGGTGGTGAGGATGATGACGACGACGACGTTTCTTCGCGGGGCACCGTGGTGGGGGTGTAGATAGGACCACGATACGGCGTGTTCCGTTGATCTCCCCAAGATTCGACATCGCGGCGCGGAGGCGGCGGCGTTTCCCAGCCCCATCCGCCGATGGCGCCACTCACAAGAGGGTCGTCATCGTTGTCATCATCATCATCATCATCATCAACGGGCCACGAGCCCGGAACCTCCCCGTGCCGAGGGGCGCCAACCGCAGAAGGAGCAGCGACATTATTGTTGGTGCAGGACGGACAGAACCCCGGTAGGCTCCCGTGCTCGCCTAGGAGGAGATCGCGAAGCACATCCGGGATGTTGACGCCGTCGCGGGGCTGCAGCGGCGCGAGCGCAACGGTGTGGCCGCAGGCCCGGTGCGTCAGGGGCTTCCGGCAGGTCGGGCACGTTGGACTTGCGTAGCTTGAGGCGACCCACCGCCGGATGCACTGGTAGCCGAAGGAGTGGCCACAGGGGAGCACTACGAAGGTCTCGCGCCGGTTTTGGTGGTGGTTATTGGAATTGTCGTCGTCATCACTGCTGCTGCTGCTGCTATTGGGAGGCTCCAGGATGGCGAGCTGCTTGCCGCAGATGACGCAGTCCACCTCGAGGCGCACGTCCCCGATCAGGTCGCCGTCGCGGTTGAAGTATGGGAGCCAGTTGGGCGCGTAGTGGTCGTCTATTGTGGTTCCTTGCGTCATGATGATGATGCTGATGGAAACGGGTGAGCGGTGAGTCGTCATTAGGAAGGTGGATGAGACAGCTTAACTTGGATGGCCCGAACGTACTTCGTGTGCTAAACTGGGAAAATGGTTGCACGAGAGAGTTAATATGAATAGAACACTGAGTTGAGAAAGATAATCTGCCCCTGGAGCACTCTTGCGATGAGTGTTAGTTCCTGACTAAATCGAGCTTTGGGTGTTTGCCCTCTGTCAGGATTGAAGTCAGATATTAGTTAGGCCCTATGGAATCGTGAATAAGGGAAAGAAGATAACCTGAACATACAAGTGGTTAAATATTGACAGCCTTGGATACTGTTGAACGACTTCACAATCAAGGGCATCAGTTGTTGAAGATCTACCGGCCATTCGCATCCGCTCGGTCTCTGCCTTCCCCCTTTTTGTTACTTTCTCCTCAATATCATCGGCAGGACGTAGCTAGGTCCGCTTTGAGCTCTAGAAGGTATGACTGGGTTGTCTTGAGAGCTGCTTGAAGCAAGTTGCGAAGTTGCAAACAACTTTTCTGACCTATGCAATCGTTGAATGTTGATTGCTGTCTAGGTAGTGTCAAGATAAAAGGGCGGCAGCAAGGCGACCACACTTTGCAAGGTAGACAGCGTGTTCTCCGGTAATGACTTCAACAAGGGAGATAGTGTCGCTGGAAGGGTAATTGACTGCCTTGACTACATATAAGAGATGCATCAGCCCCCCATGACTCATCCGTGGCAATGTTCGCTCTCCTGTGACACGCAGTACCTGAAACCCGAAGCGATATATATGTCACAGCTGATAGTACTGATATATTGATACCGCTACACTATACTTGGGACCAAAATCGTTCAAAAAGCTTGAGTATCTCTGTCATATTAGCCCCAAGCCATGCGCTCTAACCATCATCAGCTCGGAAGTCGAGAGGCTTGATGTTACGGAAAACTGCTACAATGTATTCTTGACAACAATTGGTGGTCTGATATGAATCGCCATTATTGGCATTTTTCCTAGCGAGTCACTGATATAAGTACTGGAATCTGGGTTAAGATGATGTTGGCAGATCTACTTAGGTACGTACCTCAGAAGACAAAGAGCACGCAGGCATATCACGTGTATGTTGGTGACACCTCAGGGGCTATGAAAAGGCACGAAGTCCCTGCACATTCGCTTTCCCTCTTCTTTTCCATATCCCACCAAAACACTCATATGATACCGCCCAACAGCTCTCACTTCCTGATGGATAACAACGCGTCGTCGTCAAACAAACCTCCGGGGGTGGCTTACAAAGACCAAGGAAAAGGTTCTGATGATTTGCAAGACCACAATACTCCCACGCCATCTCGACCACACACTCCGGAGCCGCCGCCGCTGCCAAGTGCGGATTCAACCCAGCAGTCAGCCTCCGATGCAAAAACGCAGGACGCAGATTCTCAATCCAGGTATGAAACGTGTCAGTCCGCGAAGCGATAGACATGGACTAAACTGACCCTCTCACAGCCCGGCGCCATCCAACGATGGCGCTTCGATGGCATCGACCGACGACCCTACCACGACGAGCACTGCCAGCCAGAAGTCTTCCACCCATAAGAGCACCTGGGATCCAGTATCATACGTTGATGGTGGTGGATACGTGAAAAATGCTTCTACGGGGGAAATTAAATTCAGAGAGGGCTTATGCCCAGCGGACCCAGAAAGGGAGCGGCAGAATGAGCGGGACAACCAAGTCATCGTGCGGGATCCTCGCAGACGGGATCGGGAGAGACGAAGGGCTGGCGGTCACCGCGACGAGAATACCAGAGGAGGAGGCCATTAGGAGCCGTGCTATTGGGGGGAGGAGTGATCTCTCATTTTACACATCACTCGCTGATCTGTTTTCTTTTGTCTTCTCCATTCTTTCTTTTTTCTTTCATCTTCTTTTAGTCTTTTCTCTCTCCCTCTCTCTTCCCCTTTTCCTGCCCACTTATCTTTCCTTTTGATTTGGGGACCAGACCAGAGAAACCCCGGGAATTTCATTTTCTTCATGAGAGAACGAATCATGTTCGATAGTCACTCTTTATCATTCATTCGCTGCAATTAGAACATCGCGTTACGGCGCTTCTCTGAACCCATGATCACTCGCGAATATATCAAGCAAAGCAGCGACGGCGTCTGCAGGATCTCGAAGACAGTTACCTTGGGCTTGGCGGCGGTGCCGTGCTGTGTCAGTTGCGCAGCTCGACGGAGACCAGCGAGTTCATGCCGTAGTAGCTCATGAGCAGCGCCTGGTCGATGTCCGTCGTCACCTTGTTGAAGATCTCGGCCATTTCGGACATGAGCACCTCGACGACGACCTGGGCAGCATCCGCGATACCGACAATCGCAGCCCCCGAGACGCTGTCGCGTCCTTAGCGCTTAGAACAAAGACACGAGCCCTATGCGTTGGTTCCGCCATAGCCAAAATTGCTGACAGGGGCCCGGGGCGGTTTACCCTGAGGTCAGTCCATCAAAGGTGTTGGTGCCCTGACATGTCAATGATCAACTGGAATATGAGCATTCTCGTTCCCATAGTCGAGACTAGGTGCACTCTTCTGTTTCTTGAAAGAGAACACCGTTCTGATGAGGGCGGCGATTCTACTGACTGGTTCTGAGTGGCCCACGTTCGTCTTGACGGATCCGACGTACACAGGGTCGTCCCTTGCGCGACTCTGGCCAAAAGTCTGCGCAATAGCTTCTTCGGCTTCAATTGGATTGCCTACAGCTGTGCCCTCATGTGAGCCTCTACGTAGGCGGTCGAGGAGATATCAAGTCCGGCACGGGCGTAGCTTTGGCGGATCAGCGCTCTCTGAGCCTTCATGAACGGTGATGTATGTGATGGTTCCGGTCTTTGCGTCTTGATCCAGTCCAATGTGGCGGATTACCGCGTCGATGTTATCGCCATCTCTGAGTGTAGCATGCAAGGGTTGAAGCACGAGCGAAGCGATACCGTACCCGTGAGCCCCTGAGTCCCAAGCGCAACACTTACCCCTGTGGCCCAGCAACTCCCTACTTAACTTAGCCATGAAGACAAGCGTATCGCATAACAGCATGCTCTTAGCACCGCCAACGATGGATATATCGACATCTCTAGGACATTATATACAGTATGTATGCATGACGACCCAGGAGAAAAAAAGAAGAAGAAAAAGAAAGAAAGCCATGTACTACTAGGTATATGTATGTAGCTCTCGGTGTAAGATAGCAACACCCGAAAAAAGTGAGCAAAAAACAAAAAGATCAATGGCTCCGCTGCGGGGAATCGAACCCCGAGCTGGTCGGATCTTGTTTGAGAGCGACCGATGTTAGCCATTACACCACAGCGGATTGTGAATATTCAGTTATCAGGTAGCTTGCTAGCCATACCTAAGTACCTGGGCATGGTAAGACATGGGGGTAAATTTTGTTAAGGTTAGGTTACTTCGTAGTCCCCACTACTTTTAATTCGCCATCAGCGGACCGGACCCAATGCATCCACCGTATTGCAGTTCGGTTGGTATTACAGTTTGTTGCCAGTTCAGGTCAGCTAAGTGAAATCCTGGTGCCAAACGCAGGAATCCTTGACGCAGATGTTTTGAAGACCGGACGTTGTTACCTGGTATTACGGACGGAGCTTCGTTACGGAGTAGTTACAGTATCGCGACATGGCCTGATCGCTCAGTTGCCAGGTGGACCTACTTAGCTGTGCCCAGCTAGAAGGATTCACGGCTAACACGATGGAACTTACGAACCAGACACAGAGTATATCACCCCGGATTATCGCAAACGTTCGACAATGTCCGCTTCCCAAGTAAATTTTTCCCATGTCACGGTACCTAGGTAAGTAGTCTCGCAAGTTCACAGGAGACCTTCGTCAAGTCGGGCATCGGAGAACTACCTACGTCTGTCCGGTAAGGCAGCACCATGCCGTCACACACGGTGTTGCCTTGGATATTGAGCGGTATCGGGATCCCGACCTTCGTCTACGCCGCCGGCATAGCCGCCGTCCTGCGCAGTCCGTTTCTGGAGAACCAGCTCGTCTACCAGCATCGTCTGCGGCTCCTCAAGGGCCGGGACTTGGACCGGCCCGAGCAGTTCGGCTTCGCGCACCGCCAGGCCACCCCTTTCCGCATCGCGACGGACGACGGCCACAACCTCCACGCTTGGCACGTCCTGCCCCTTGGCCTGTACTACAAGCACGCGCCGCGGCTCCTTCGCGACACGGCGCACCGGCGTCCGTTCGCTGCCGATGCCGACTTCACCGAGACCGTCAACTTTCGTCTCATACGGGAAGATCCCGAGGCGAGACTCGTGATACATACGCACGGCGCATCCGGCACCCTGACCGCCTGGAGTCGATCCGCGTCATACCGCGCGCTCTCGTCACTGTCGCCAAGTAAGATCCACGTGCTCGCTTTCGACTACCGCGGCTTCGGCCTCTCGCCGGGCGTCCCGTCGGAGGCGGGGCTTCTGTCCGATGCGCGGGCGGCCTTCCAGTGGGCGACCGACGTCGCCAAGATACCGCCGGAGCGCATCGTCGTCTTCGGGCAGTCGCTGGGCTCGGGCGTGGCCATCTCCCTCGTCGACGACCTCTCCCTCCGGAGCATCTCGCCCGCGGGCCTCGTGATCTCCAGCTCGTTCCCGGACGTGGCCACCGTGCTCGCCGAGTACCGGCCGGCCTTCGGGCTGCGCGCCCTCGGGCCCTTCGTCAGGTTCCCCGGCGTCATGGACTACTTCCGGAGGTCCATGCGTAACAAGTGGCCGAACAAGCAGCGGCTGGCCGAGGTCGTGCGCCGCAGCTCCAGGTACCATATTGAGATCCTCCACGCGGAGGACGACGAGATCGTCCCCCGCCATCTGAGCGATATAATATTCGAGCATGCCGCTAAAGCTGATGCTGCACTGGAGGCGAAGGATTTCGAGCAGGAGAAAAAGAGGAGACTCGTGCAGCTGGGCGATGGGGGCTGGTACGTGGAATGGCCGACGTCTAAGGGATTCATCCGGCAGGAGGTGGTCAATTACGGGCGTCACGACAAGATTATGGCTCAACCACAGACGGCCATGGCCATCATGAGGGCGTTTCAGAGTACCAGCCCAAATTTTGGAGTTGACTGACATGCTCATGGAAGTTGTAGAAGTGTATTATACATAGATCAAATTAGTCCGATTCGTCTACTTTGGTGTACTTTCACTGTCGCAGAGCAGTGGTGTCTCGAGGGGAACTTTAATCCTTATATCAGCGTATTAATTCAAACGTGTGTTTCCGGACGGGCCAACCAAAGTGTCTCAGATAGCAAATGCCCAGAGATGGCTATAGTACTGATGACAGTTTTCTGGTGGTGATGAGCAATTGCATTGCAGAGGGAAGATGATGACTCACGGGGGTAGGAGACTTGCAGATCGGCATGCTCATGTCATAATCTGGCGAGGATCATGGCATCGTAACGTTGAGCCAGAACATCCTGAGTTCTGTCACCCGAATCCCCGGATCCGAACGGGGCAAATCAGTAGGTATATATAGGTAGACGCCTCCCGCCTGACTTCCCTATAAGGCTTAACCTCTTCCTGGTAATCCATTAAACTATTCTCTCCTTTGATGATGTTAGTTCGGAGTTTTCGCAACACTTAAAGCGCCGGGGAGGTGGCCAATGTTTCTTCTCATATCTAGAGACTTACACTGAGAATGAATGGCATGGTGTTTCCAGGCTCCCAAGAGAGAAGCCAAGCGTAGTGCTTGGAGTAGCCAGACCTGAAGCAGCTAGACCAGGTGCATTTGGACGGATCCTTGCTCTCTGGACATCATCATATAGTTCATGTTATACAACGTAATAATTTAACCAGCACCAAGACCGGAGCGACGAAGGTGCATAATTATGTTGCACATGGTGACAGTAAGTATGAAAGTCAAGAGAATGTGTGTGTATTAGTTGCAAACACGCATTGGATCTACCATCATCCAACACAACTCTAAGTAGCTCTCGGTAGGGGCTGTTGACACATGCAGTTTGTGTGCTTTTGACTGCAAAGGTCTCAGTAGAACATGCACAGGTAGAAAGTTAGCCAAATTGGAAACAACTATTCATGAATATCTCTTCTCCATATCTATTCCCGTTCCTACTTATATGAATCGAGGATACTGCGTGGTCCAGTGGGCCGCAGCCCTGGTATTATACACGTCTACCACATCACTAGCCTAGGCCAAGAATATATATATATATATAGATATGTTAATCTTAGAATGACTCACACTGCTGTACGTAATAAGAGAAGTTCAATGTGGTAATTTTCCTTGGCCACCGGGGCAGCTGGTGCCAGACGCTTAGCTCACAGGCACCACGTGATCCCCTCCAATGGCAACCGCTACAGTCGGGCAGCAGCTATTCGTTTTCTACACAAATCCACCTCATCCCACATAACTACCTAAACTACCTAATCCAAAGCAATGAAATACATCAAGATTCCACCCACTCGTAAGTGCTGAAAAATCACATTCAACCCTCCCCCCAAAGGCCTGGTATATGTTCAATCGTCGCTCCGTCAACCTTGGGCTAAAAGCAGGGAATTCCACATTAACTCGTTCAGGGCTATCGTTTCTACTGCGCCAGAAATGGGGCGTCTTCGTCGAGATCGAGTGAAAAGCTATGTCTCTGACCTCCCAAGTCAGCTCTCAGCCAAGCAAGACAAGCAGGCTAAAGCCTTATGCAATGGCTGTAGATACATGGCTAACTCGAGCGACGAAACGAAAAGGCAGGTCTTCAACCGGGTTTCAAATTATCTACTGGCGCGCGGAAGACAATCCTCAGAGGATATTGATCGCAACGCAAGACGAGACTCGTTAGGCGAGGTCGGCAGCGGGAAGGTCATAGGTACAGGCGGAATTTCGGGTGATAGGGGTTGATATTGAGGTGCTCTCGCACTAAATAATGCTATCCATAGGAGTCGATAACGTCAGGCTAGTCTGAAGATGGATTATTATAGCTACGTTAGAGGATGTGAATTAGGAAAGAGGTTGAAGGATCCTCAGTGTAAATATTTCAGGTGCAGGGGCACTTGATGAGATAAGGACGTAGGATGTACCTTCTGAATCGGTTTCACAAGCTATGAATGTGCCTAATGGAAGGTTCGATGCAATCGGCGGTGGACCTTCTGACCTTCTCTGCTCCCACCTCTCTGCTTCCCCGCGGCGACAATCAGACAACACCTGCAGTCAGTTTTCCGCATGATCGTCATAGCCATCAATCGTGTGGTCAGAGCCATAAAACTTCTAGAAATATGGCTACCCAACCCTCTGATCCACCCGTGAAGGAACTCCATCGCGACCTCGGCCGACGATATCGGGCACATGGAGCCAGAATCGAGACTATATGGCGCTCGTGGGGCCAAGAACAACGAACCAAGATCATGAAGGCTGGCGTTAAGGACGGGGCTGTGTTGAAACACTCTCTGGACCCTTCGCTAGGATACATTTACAGCATTATGCCGGAGTGGAATCTGCGCGACATTGCAGCTCCAGGATCCGAACTGTTCCTCGACATACTCAAGCATCGAGCTACGGAGACCCTCGCGCAACAGTACATGACTGGCCCCAACGGTCGCCCGGGTGATTATGAACTAATCATCAAAATGATGCAAACCAGGAACCTTCGGCATAGAAAATCGTTCAAAGACTGTTACACTTATTTCGCCGAGGAAGAATACTATGGGCAAACACGTCGTATTGTCAAGGATAAAGAGGCGTTTTTCGCTGCTATGGCTCCCGCTATAGATACTTACCGTTTGATTCCTCAAGCAACCGGCCAACTAATCCTCACGAGACAATGCCATCTAATGCAATTCCTCCTTGGTACCATGGAGAATATCCTGTTTGTGGCATCAACCACCTCGACATCGCTTCCCAAGAAGTCTACCTCCGAACCCGCATCAACAGCCCTTTCGAAACTGTCCATTCAGCCGACCATGCCAAAGATTGATTTTGCCGATTTACACAACAGCGCATTGGACCAAAAATCTTATCTCGAGGATTCTCTGAGCTTGGTGTGCAAGGAACCAGTCGTTTTAGCGCATGTTGTCGACGATTGGTACTTTAGTCGGCCGGAGCTTATCGCTGATGAGGAAGGTCGTAGTTATGCTGCGTATACTGATAGGGTTGTCAGCGTCGCGGTTCTCGACTCCGTAGATAGCGCAATCAAGAGTGCCGCCGTTTGGGACTATATGTGCCAGCTACTGAGTCTTTTCAGGGACTCGTCGGAGAAGTCCCACCGAGTCGTCCTGCTGCAGGAAATCTCCAACTTGTGCCATCTCGAATACAACCGCGTGCAGGCTTTACTGAAACGTCATGTCTCGACAGG